ATCTGCTCCTACTCTTCCATGTAGGGTCTGACAAGGCAACTTAGAACCCTCCCAGGAGACTATCTCTCTGTTGGAGCAATGTGAAAAGGATGGTGGTCTCCTCTATCAGAGTCCAGTCAGACAAAGGGGTCTGGGAAGGAGGAGACAAACCAAATGGGTGAATGCTTGGCTGTGTAGCTGGTGCCGTACTCAAGGTTTTGGCTTTTATGACCATGCATCTACCTTTAAGAAACCAAATGTTTGCATGTGCAGGTTATTTAGAACAGGTTTGATCCTGTGGACCATGTGGGGATCGTGTGAGTTACTCTCAGCAGGAGCTTATCCCTATGGAGCACCTTCACGGGAAGGACCCCATTGGAGAAGAGTGTAAAAATACAATAGCTCAGTTGGTTAGAGCATGGTGCTAATAACACCAAGCTTGTGGATTTGATCCCTGCATGGGCTATTCACTTAAGAGTAGGACTCAATGATCCTTGTGGGTCCCTTCTAACTCAGAATATTCTGTGATTCTATGTACTTCAAGAAGTTTAGTAACATATGCAGGGGTGTGTGTTTTAATATTTAAATGGTCTTTAATCAGGCAAAGGTTACTTTTTTTGGCCGGTCATATGACTTTGTTGAGTTCTGTGCTGTTCATCAGAGCCACAACAAGATTATCCTGGCTGCCTGGGACCTCCTCCTTCAGCCAAGACAGTGTAGGACGTAGATAGTAAGCCTTAACCCTTGCCTGGTTCTTTGGTCATCATGTCACACAAACCAAAAAAGGAAACCTCATGATTGGTGTCTACTCTAGGCCACCTGATCAAAGGGAGGAGGTTGGCAAAGTGTTAGTTCTTCAACCACCAGAAGCATTCTACTCGCAGGCAAAGAGTAAAGTCGAGACCCTGAATTTTAGGAGAGTGAACTTTCAGGTCTTACAAGAACCAGTGGAGGAGCCCCCCTGTGAAACTACCCTCGGGGATGATAAAGGAACAGAAGGGAGCTGGTCACTCTTGAGGGGTGTTTTTCTTAGAGCACTAGAGCTCTCAATTCCCATATGTAAGAAATCAGGCAAGAGAGGCAGGAAACTTGTGTGGCTGAGTAAGGACCTTCTGGTCAAGTTGAAGCATGAGGAGGAAATGCATAGGCAGCGGAAGCAGGGACATGTATCCCGGGAAGAATCTAGAGATACCACCCGGGTGTGTTGGGATGGGATCAGGAAAGCTAAGGCATAGTTGGTGCTGAATTTGGCAAGGGATATGGAGAAACATAAGATGTGCTCCTACAGGTGCCTTGGTCAGAAAAGTAAAACTAAAGAAAGTGTATGCCACTGTCGCCTGATAAATAAGCCAGGAGATTGAGTGACAAGCAATGTGGAGAAGGCCATGGTACTTGGTGATTTATTTTCCTACATTTTCACGGGCAATCACTGTTCCCATATCTCTCAAGACCCTGAACCTGAAGGCAGGGACTGCGGAACTGATGCTGAAAACTCTGGAATGAAGAACGGCTCAAAGAATTTTTTTATCTTTTAACAGTAAGGTATTTATTTCGACAACGTTGAGAGCAAGCCAACTGTCTTGGTTTTGCTCTGGGTCAATTTGGTCTCACACCCCCCACACAATTATTGTAAGTTGAGAGAAGGTTTATGCAGGCAAAAGAGACTGGATTTGGGAAAATAATATTAACATTTATTACTAACAAGTTAAAACTAAAGAACTATATCTATAACAATTCTACTTAAGTAAAAGTACTATGTATTTACAGAAATATTTCTCCCCGCTTTATATCAGTCCTAGGAGGAGAAGCAGTTTCTTTTCTCATTCTCAGAGCTCCAGGTCTCTTCAATAACTCTGCAGTACTCTCGTCAGAGTTGGAACTTTTTCTTTTTTTCTCTTGCTCTGTATTGGCCTCCAGGGCTGGGCCTACCCCCCTCCTGGGCTAAGACCAGAGGCTGGGGGTTACCCAGGCCCTGAAGGTTTTCTCTTCCATGGACTTGCAAGGGGACACTTGCTTACCATGGATCTTCACCACAGGATTACAGAGGATAATGGCTTTTGAGTCCACCCCTATTTTCCTGTGTGGTCCCTCCCCACGGGAGAACAGTCCTTGAATAGACCTCTCCAACATGGGTCTAGCATGGATCCTTTCCTTGGATCCCAACATCTTACCCGAGCCGTTCTCACTCCGGCATAAGCTTCTCTCTCAGGGTCATAAATCTTCAGCAGCAGCATGGATCCCACACACGGATCCCAACATCCCTACCCGAGCCGTTCTTGCTCCAGCGTAGGTTCTCTCAGGGTCACAAATCTCCAGCACCAGCAGCATGGATCTCTCTCACTGAGATCCCAAGCTTACCCTAGTCATCCTCGCTCTGGCATAAGCTCTCAGGGTCATAAATCTTCAACAGGACTCTGCCTCATTTCAATCCTTCTCATGAAGTCTCAGCTTCCTTGTACATCCACAAGCTCTTTTGTGAGCCGTATATGTCTCCTCACCCCAACAAACTTCTACAGGTGGCAGGGATTATTTTTCAGTCTTTTCCCTGCTGAAGGGAGAGAGCGAAAGGGGGAAGAAGCAGCCCTCCTTTCAAACTTTCCTTCTCTCTCCTGCGGCTGCCAGCTTCGACTTTGAACACTTTGTTATCTCTTTGCCGGAATTCTTCTGCAGTACTTTCTGTCCAAGTAGTCAGTCCTCTAAAGTTGTTTTTTTTCTCCACTCTCTTACAAGAGAGAAGGGAAGCTTCAGTGCTACACCTGCCCCCAGCCCAAGCCGGGGGAGGAGGAGGGGGCCTGACCCCCACTAGGTACTTGCTGCCTTTCCTACATGGCTGCTTAATTTCAACTGCACAACCAACCTTCTCTTCCGTTTTTCTTAAATATGTAATTAGCAAAGGTGTCACTAAGAGTTTTGATTGGCTTTTTGTCTGGAAATCCACCTGGACAAAACCATCCTCAGCCCCAGGGGCTGGCTGGTTGGGCAAAACCACAACACCAACTCATGCTAGTCAAAATTGCCCCAAGGCGCCAATGCAAAACAAGGTAATTTATACAGTCTAAATCCATGGTTGCATAATACATCTAATCATGCATATTGATTATAGGCGGAGTCTAGGAAGAGTCTGGGTGGACCTTGGGGCTGTGCTTCCACCCCATTTTGGGGGTCGATTTCTCTTCTTCCTCACTTTGACCTTCTTACCTCTCTATTGTTCTTGCCCCAACTACTGAAGCTTGCAAAAACTCTTGGTTCTGAGCCCTTTTCCCCTATTCAAATGTCTACCTAGTCTAAATTTATAGCCTCTAGTTTGATTGTATAGCGTTTCTAGCATTCTTCTTGGGTTTAGGTCCAGTGAGCAGAACAGAACGAGTTTTTCCTAATAGTTCAGGCAGAACAGGTGTTTCTCAACAGAGCAAGATATCTCAGTTAACTCTTTTAGGCCTTGCTCTTGTTTCAGTCCCCCTTTTTCTTAGGACTTACAAATTCTTTCGTCAAGGGCAAAAGAGCTTTGGTAGGTATTTATCATTGCCCACGTTATCTGCATCCTTTTGATTATGGTACTCAATCTGTACCACAGCCAGATGTTTAAGAGCTATTGCAGAATTATTACTATTACTAGGACCAACATAGGACGTATCAAATAATGAAACACCTGTGCTGCCATAGGGGCATACCCTGTAAAGATATCCCACCAATGATGTTCCCCCACTTGCTCTACTTTAGTTAGAATTATCTTTATACTTTCAGTGTCATGTTTTACTTGCCAAAGCATACACCGAGTTGTTCTGTTTGCTTTTTGACTATTTTCTCTATATCTGGGTGCTTAAGCATTTTCTTAAGAGATCAATATTCATTCTTATTTGTAATTTGGGTACATCATGATACAGTGTGTAATCAGCTTCAATTAGTTGTCTACTGGTTACAGGAGCAGTGCAATCAAAATCACAACCTATGATTCAAGTAAAATTATACACACAAAAATTAGTACTGTTTGCTACTTCATGACAATTATCAATGGTAAGATTAACACAAAAAGTCCTAACACATGCACATCTATTTCCTACGTAATATACCTCTGACTGGGTCTTAGCATGGGGAAGCATTTCAAAAGTACATACACTATCTTCAGTATCTAAGCATAAATCTTCATTTTCTACAGCAGTATTTTCACAGATATATCCCAACTGTCCCTTAGGAATACACACATCAGTACTGATCAACTGCCATTTGCCTTTGCTCTGATCATAACTTGCCCAAACATTACGGCCTATGGGTCTGACGATGACATTCTGATGTATAGGTCCTAACGTCAAAATAGGAAAGATGGTTTTTCCTTTGGCTTCACTAATAGTAAGTTGTCCCAGTTTAAATGAGACAAGGGTCTTTTGCTGAGGATGGATTAGGAGGAAAAGACCCAAACTTCTCTTTCCAAGCAATTATAAATCCAAAATTAAGAGGCTCCAATTGAAGGAAAACAAATTAAGGAAAAGGGAAAATAACAGCCCTTTATTAAAAGGAATGTGTGTATTAACAGAAACACACACAAAAAAAAACCAAGTAAAACAACCAAGCAATACTCCTATACCCACCAATAATCCCCTTCAAGAACAAAACCGATAAACTGGTAAAAGGAAAATTAAACAGTTCAATTTCTTGCACCCTTTGGTGCAGTTCCAACCACAGTCAGCAGGGGGTGCCGTCGGGTCACTGGAGATGCAAAACTTGTAATGTCCTGTACCATTCACCAGGTGGCGTTGTTGGGTCACTGGAGGTGTAGAACTTGTAGTGTCCTATAGTAGTCACCAGGTGGCGCTGTTGGGTCACTGGAGGAGCAGAACTTGTAATGTCCAGTGCCCGTCACCAGGCGGCGCTGAGAGATCCTTGGCTGCTGCCAGGTGGGTTGAAGGAAAGGGAAAAAAACAACACTCCCCAGGGTATATCAGAGAAAAAACAAAAAAAACTCAATTCCCCTTTGCTGCAGGCAGGCAAGTGAGCGGGAGAGAACCACACACACATCCACAAGATGCAAGTTCAAATCCAGTTTTATTATTGTTAGGCTGTACAATTTATATTATTCTGAGTCCTGTCCACGCGAACACGAGCACAGCACGCCATCACGATTGGTCAGCACGCGCTGTCCACGCGCCCTAGGTAACCCACCGATTTGTGGTTTTGAAGCCCACATTTGCATACCGTTTCTGTTATCACTGTTTTTCCCATCCTGCTTCTGCTGACTCCTGCATTCCTGCAGCAGTAAGCTGTTTCTTGTTTATCTTACCATTACCTCTTGACCTTTTCAGAACTCAGAATAATCATGCAGAATTGCTAAGGCCCCAACACTTCCCCCCTTTCGCTTAAACATAGAATCAAAGCTGTGAATGATACAATCTTGAAGACACCTAAAAATACATGGAACAACAAGCAATAAAACCAGAATAAAAATGAGTATAGACAACCATTGTTTCAGTACATCTTTTAGCCAACCTCCTATTCCCCATGATGCCAGTCAGGCATCCAATCCCGCAGATCCTTCTTTTACATGATGCATGCGTTCCTTAAGTTCTTGTAACTGTTTGTGTATGCTTTGTGAATGATCAGATAAATTCATACAACACATTCCCTCAAAATCCTGACACCCATGCCCATGTGCTAAAAGTCAATCACTGCTCTATTTTGCAAAACTGCATGTCTCAAGCTATTTACATCGCTAGCTAAACCTGTTAAGATTTCAGAAGTAGAGTTAAATTGTTTTACAGCCTAGCATGCCAAAGTTTTAATTTTCTTCCAGTTTGCTGCTGCCATGCCCCCTGGGAGGAAAAGTGACAAAGCAACGGCTTCACCTGCTGTTCCAAGTTTCACATTGTCATCACAATCAGGTGTTAAGTCTTTGAGATCTCTCTTGGTCCGAATGTGATTTGTTTGTCTTACCAGGTCACGCATGGCAGGTGCAAACATGGTTAACTTTCCAATGTAACATGGTCCTCCTACGGGACGAAAAGGAATACCAGGTCAAGCTCTATCACCACATATTAGAAAATAACCCTCAGGTAGTATTTTAGTAGACACATTTTCTACATTTAACTCCCCGGCATGTTTGGAGGTATTCCAATGATTAGATTGCCCAGTCACATTTTGGTAGCCCAAATATTATTGCATTACGCCGTCGGCATGCATGAGACGTTTCCATGAGTCTCCAAAATGGACGACTCCGGATCCATTGATTGGTAAAATCTTTGGGTATATATTGGTACAATTTGTTTGGTTAGAAACATCGCTCACACTTATGACAGGAGGAAATGATCCCCACAAATCCAATTCTTGTAAGGGTAAAGGTGCTGACTCGTTCAGTTGATATATCAACTGTTGTAAAAAACGTGCTTCTTTTACAATAGGCCAATTACACGATTTTGTACATTTGCCCCGTGAGTTGTCGTCTCTCCACTGCCAATAAGAGTTATTAATAGCAGTGTAGTTCACTCCCAAATGGCTAAAGTCTGTCCAATGTATGTATGGATAACCAATTAGACAAGTTCGAAAAGGATCACTGGCTTTTTGGAGGGATAGACAAAATTCTGTAACCCCAGACACATTGGCCCAAGTAACCCACATATTTTGTCTTGGGTCAATGTTGTGGATGGCTGCGACAGGGATGATGCTGGATAGAATTAGGTGGTAATACCAGATAGCCTTAGTTTTGTTGTTTACGTTGCCGTTTTTCCTTGCGTTTGCTAATCCGTAATTTATGAAACGCAAAACAAACCCGATCCATGTTTTGGGGAGGGACCATCCACCCCCTAGGGATACACAAGTTTTCATCACAGAACCAATCAAGGATCTTGGTGTCATTTTGAGCCATGATTCGGTCATATTCATGTTATGTACTCCACCTCTGTTCCGCTATCCACCTTTGTTCCTGGATTGGCCTACTATGATCAGAGAGGTTAAAACAACACAAGCAAACTTGTCTTGATTATAGGTAAAAACCATCCTGATATTTACCAACAGACCATTTAGTCAATTTTAACCAGCATTAACTTGCAATATCTTCAATATCTGCTTCCAATCTCCGAAGGCTAGCAGCATCAACTTACCATAATTAAATCTATATAACACATTCTCTTAAAATCTTAATATTCATTAAGTATTTAAGTTCACACACACATATCTGCGCAGCTTTTTTCACTCATGCAGCTTTTTTCCCAGTCATTCAGAAGGTGGCCACCTCAATCATCCTTCATTCACACATAGCTGGGATTTTTATTATATTTTTCATTTCAACCACAGATCTCAGATTCCTAAGTATTGTTGGCTTCTCAGTGCTTTTCAGTCTGCCATCTCTGGTGGTCATGTTCAGCAATTCCACCTGTCCTGAAGAGGAATCAATACAAGGAAACAAAAAGGCCTAACAAACCTAAATGAGATCCATTTCTGATCCAGGATCTGTTTATGTACATGCATATTCTCCTCCCCTCTTTTGTTTTGAAAATATGCTTAGTGTGTAAAATGCTTTTTGACAATAATTTGATCTCTGAGTGAGTTAGCCTTGCTTTAGAATACCAAAAGCTATGCAGTATAACAGAAATAACGTCAGGTGAACTGAAAAAAAAAGACAAAGAATCATGTGTGTACATTTTAAATTCCCACCTGAAATGTATCTTAACCTAATGCCAGAAAGGGGAAAAGAAAAGAAGGTATAATCTGCAATTATAAAATCACTTTAACCAAGTAACCAGAATCAATTATAGACCTCTTAAACCTTTAACTATTCCCCAGTAAGTTCCACTTCTCTGTCAACTGTGACAAACTCAGTGAAAAACACCACCATGCACATGAAAGTTCTCTTCAAAACTCCCTTTTTCCTTTTTTTTTTTTTTTGGTTGGTTTTTTTTTTTTTTTTTTTTTTTTTTTTGAATCAGCTGCAGTTTCAGCAGCTTTGTCTTAACACCACAAGTGCTAAGCCCTGCAGGTCTGGGTCCTCCGGGACTCCCCTCAGCGCAGGCAGCAGCATGCCCCGCTCTGGCTTGGAGCCCGCAGCGTCCCGGCTCCGCAGCCCGGCGCAGCCGCATCAACAGCGGCCCCGCCTTTACTCTGCTCCCAGCATCATTCTGCCTAGGCGTCCTGCTCTGTGCGGGCTCTCCTCCGCCGATGTTGTCTCTGTGCTCTCTGGATGTTGCTATCTCCGCAGTCTGGGATGTAGTCAGGTCTCAGTTTCTGTCCATCTGCCTCTTCCAGTTGTTTTCACTGTTATCAAAAGCTTAACAAACCGTTGCTCTTAAAAGTTCTGTCAGTTCTACGTAGTTACCGTGCAGAAACAGATGAGAGCAGTCAGACAATTTTACCGAGGGTCTGCGTGGAGAAAAAAGGATGTTTCAGAGCCGCAGTCAGCCCCTCGTTCCGCAGTGGGTCTTGAACCTATGACCCAGGGATTCACAGTCCTATGCTTTACCGAGCGAGCTATCCAAGCTCCTTTCAGACTAGTTGCGCTCTCTTCAAGCTAGCCAGGCTCTCTTCAACTAACACAGCAGCAACAGCCCTAGGGAGCTCCTGCGTTTGAAAGGTTTCAGACACCACTGTCACACAAGTTTTTGTTTTTCAGTCTTAAGAGTAGCAATGCTTAACTCCGTGTCTTCTATCTGTGACTGTTGTAGTGAAGCTATAACTTGCAAAGCAAACATAGTTTTGCCTCTTGTTCAAGTTAAAACATTTTTAAAGTCAAAGAATGTCGTGGGCGGGCTTTACGGACTTCCATAGTTGCTGTCCTTTGTAAAGCGGAGCAGCGCGGGGGTGTGCTCCGGGCGCCTCTGCCTTCCCGTGTCTTCCAGCAGCCCTCCATCTTGTCTCGCCCTCCCGTCTCGGTCCGTCCTCAGGGCACACTGCTTGAGGTGGGGGAGGGGGGGGGGTGCGGGTTGTTCGATCACGATCTGAGGCGGCCCCGGTATTTTACTTTCGATTTGTACTTCAGGCAATTGCTTTTCGTTACTGGGGTTCCACGGTGGTAATTCGTCATCTAAACCCCACGCTATTTGTTCTGCCTTAGTCATGACAGGACATGTCAACGGAGGATAATTAGGGGGGTCTCCAAGAGGTGGCCAGACACCCTGCATTTCAGCCGCGCGTTCTGCCTTTGTTTGAGAGCTATCGGGAGGCCGCACTGCAGCTTTAACAGCCCCGGCGACTTGCGCCTTGCCGTGTAGCCGTTCAATCAGTATTCGCAGAGTACGGTAAGTTTTTGCTAATGTCTTTGCCCCTTTCGTTCCAAGTTGTACCGATTCCCACAAGTCCTCCCCCACCTTTTTGCCATGTCTCAGTCTTATATATATCTTGCGTGGAGGAGAAAAATCCACGGCGGTGACACCAACATAGTAAATCTATCAGCGCCGAACGCGGCAACTGAGCGTCAGTCTTATCAGCCAATTTCATTAGGCTATCGACAACCGCCTTTTCCACTGCTAACGCAGTTAATCTCATCCTGCTTATCTTCCTGACTCACCGGTCAGTCCGTGCACGATCCGCCTTTCTTCTGGTGCCCAGCTATAACTCGCTGGCAGCAGGATCCTCGCAGGTTCTGCAGTCCGATGTTCGATAGTCCCCAAGCATGTATGTCGGGGTTCACCAGATGCTGCAGGCAGGCAAGCGAGCGGGAGAGAACCACACACACATCCACAAGATGCAAGTTCAAATCCAGTTTTATTATTGTTAGGCTGTACAATTTATATTATTCTGAGTCCTGTCCACGCGAACACGAGCACAGCACGCCATCACGATTGGTCAGCACGCGCTGTCCACGCGCCCTAGGTAACCCACCGATTTGTGGTTTTGAAACCCACATTTGCATACCGTTTCTGTTATCACTGTTTTTCCCATCCTGTTTCTGCTGACTCCTGCATTCCTGCAGCAGCAAGCCGTTTCTTGTTTATCTTACCATTACCTCTTGACCTTTTCAGAACTCAGAATAATCATGCAGAATTGCTAAGGCCCCAACACCCCTTCCCTTCCCACACTGGAAAAAAGGGGGGGAGGGGGAAGGGGGGAAGGAAAAAAAACCAGCAATAAAACAGAAAGTTCTCCCAATGGAAGAAAACTCACGAACTTCAGCTGGTTAGGATTAGTTTTAAGTAGGGCCTGCAACCAGCAACAGCTGAGAAGCGAGCAACAGCAAATTCTCCTCTGGCAGGAAGAAAGAAGAAACCAGGCAGCTCTGCAGCTTGCAGCAGGTCCTCTGCCCACTGGCACACACACCAGCCACACTTCCCCACCTCCTTCAATCGGAGCCTCTTAATTTCAGATTTATGATTGCCTAGAAAGAGAAGTTTGGGTCTTTTTCTCCTAATCCATCCTCAGCAAAAGACCCTTGTCTCATTTAAACTGGGACAGACCTCCTCAGCCCATGTCACCTGCTCCTCTTCTTCTTCAGAAGACAGTCCAAAACTCTCACCTTCAGGCCAGTTGGTGATAATTTCCATAATCCTGGGGCAATTAGGATTCCCTATCCAGGTTCACTGTGTGATCAAAGCGATCCACTTACTCCATATGGCATCGGTGGCGTGATGTGTAGAAAGAGCTTTTCCTTTGAAATATCCAGCCCAGTGCTGGTAGTCAGGGTGTCAGGAGGAGCTGTGCTTCAGTGTCAATCACTTCTGAGGCAGCTTGAACTCCTTCATAAGCAGCCAGGATCTCTTTCTCAGTTGGGGTATAGTTGGCTTCAGATCCTTTGTATCCCCAATTCCAGAATCCCAGTGGTTGTCCTCGTGTCTCTCCAGGCACTTTCTGCCAGAGGCTCCAGGAAGGACCATTCTCCCCGGTTGCAGTGTAGAATGCATTCTTCACGTCCGGTCCTGTCCTGTCCTGACTGGCCCAAGGGCTACTGCACGGGCAATCTCCTGTTTAATTTGTTCAAAGGTCTGTTGTTGTTCAGGGTCCCATTGGAAATAATTTTTCTTCTGTGTCACAAGGTAGAGAAGACTTACAATCTGACTGTACTCAGGGATATGCATCCTCCAAAAGCCCATGGCGCCTAGGAAAGCCTATGTTTCCTTCTTGCTGGTTGGTGGGGACATGGCTGCTATTTTTTAATCACCTCTATTGGAATCTGTCAGTGTCCATCTTGTCACTTCACTCCTAGGAACTGAATTTCCTGAACAGGTCCCTTGATCTTACTTTGTTTAATGGCAAAATCAGCTCTTAGGAGAATCTGAATTATCTTCTCTCCTTTCTCGAAGACTTCCCCCTGTTGTGTTCCCCCATACAATGACATCATCGATGTACTGTAGATGTTCTGGAGCCTCACCCTTTTCCAGTGCAGTCTGGATCAGTCCATGACAAATGGTAGTACTGTTTCTACCCCTGGGGCAGCTGATTCCAGGTGTACTGCACACCTCTCCAAGTGAAAGCAAATTGTGGTCTGTACTCTGTTGCAAAAGGAATGGAGAAAAAGGCATTGGCAATGTCAGTGGTGGCATACCACTTGGCTGCCTTGGACTCCAGCTCGTACTGAAGCTCCAGCATGTTCGGCACAGCAGCACTCAGGGGTGGTGTGACTTCATTGAGTCCACGGTAATCCACCGTCAGCCTCTACTCTCTTCACTTACCCAGGCTGCTAAGGAAGAGGTGAGTTTTCCATCCCACTTCCTCATATCTTCCCCATGCTCATGGAGGTAAAACCATAGATTACCAAGTGGAATGTACCCTCTCTCCTTAGCTGGGGGATGCCTGCTCCTGATAGCAGAGACTCTTGTTTGTCCTGGTGAGATATGGAAGATCCCTTCCTTAATTTCCTTTCTTAGTTTCTGGTGGCCTTCTTCAATCTTCTCTTCCAGGCTTCAGACATGTTTGGCCAGGTTGGTTTCCACAGATGAGACGTGGGCTCGCAATGGGGTGGTGACAGTGTCTTCATAAATCCTGAGTTTGCTAACCAGCGCACCCACCTTGTCCTCTCCCTCCCTCCATTGCAACGTTGCTAAGTAGCGGGAATACCTTTCTGGCCCGAGTTGTGCAAACTTTAACCACATCTGGGATGTGCACTGTACACCATCTGGACTTTTAGGGAATCTTTTGTCCTCTGAAAAGATTATCTCCAGTACAGCTAATTCCCTTAAGCACCGGATACCTTGTTCCATTGTGTTCCACTGTCCTTGCTGTACGTGAAGGTCCTCCTTACAAAGATATCTCTCCTTCACACTGGACAACAGTCTCCACCAGAGGCTGAGAGTTTCCTGCCTCTTTCCAATCCCCTGATCAATGGCTACATCTCGAGACAGGGATCCCAGTTGCCTTGCTTCCCTCCCATCTAGAATTGTATCATTAGCTGCAGCGTCCCAGATTCCAAGCAACCAGGTCAGAATGGACTCATTCGTCTGTTGATTGAACTCTCTCCGGAGTTCACATAGCTCACCCGGGGATAGGGACCAAATGATTATTTCTGGCTCTGTCTCCTCCACTGGACGTGAAGGTGCTGCCTCTTCACCATCATCCACTATATGAACTGATTTAGTCTTTGATTTCCTTTTCTGGACAGGGCAACTGGCTATTGGTTTCAGTTGTCCTTCTGGTCTCCTCGACTGGTTTGTGTGGACATGGTGCTGGTTGGTTTATTTCTTTTTCCCTCTGACTCAGCCGTGGTTTGGGTGGACATGGTGCCTGTGGATTTGCTCCTTCTCTCCTCCCCCTGATGGTGCTGTACCATGACAAGTAGTATCCGGTAGGTAGTGGCCAAGGCCCAGCAGGTTGCTGTGAGCTGGCTGTCTCTGGAGCTGCCAGAGCATTTTTCCTTGACCAGTCTTATCACACTAACAGGGTCCTGCAGTTGTTCAGGGGTGAATTTCCAGATCATTGGAGGAGAGAACTTCTTCAAATACTGGCTGATGTCCTCCCACTTCCTGTGCCACTCAACATTATCCACTCCCATGGCAGGCCTCCAGACAACCTCCCTAGAAGACTCTGTTCTGACCCTAAGCATGGTGTAGACAGAACAGAGCAGACAAAGCAACAGTAACAACAACATTACACTGTCTTTAACATCAAAAGGAAACTCAATATTTTCAAAGACTGTTGTAGCAGGTCTGAAGGAGGAGAAGGAGGTGAAAGGCTGGAAACAACCATTCCCTCCTGTTCCCCCAAAAGGCTGGGTGCGTATTTTAATGAGGTAGCAACCCAAACCAGGACAGGCAAACAAGACTGAATACACATTCACAACAAAACTCACTGCTTCTGATGTTATGACGACATAAATATAGTATATTAATAAAGCAATTTTGATCCCTCTCCCTGATCTTAAAGAGATCATCAAAATAGGCAAATAGTACCCCATATACAGAAATATGAACAGGTTTAGATACAACATCCATGTGAATACATCAAGGAACATAGTGATCAGGGAGTTTCTGTATGCAAATACACAAATGTTTAAAATGAAATTGTGATTCTGACTTCTCTCTCAGGTCCCATGTTGGGATCCAAAAATGTGCTGGTTTAAAGGTAAATCGGCAGGAGAAATTAACCCAACTCAAAAGAGATTATAAGTCAAAATTACCATTTAATAAAAAGAATACAATAAAGACAATTATACAGATGAACAATTGGTTTTAACCCACAAAAAACCAAATGTATAACCCGGCACTCTGGGGCACTAACAGAATGCTGTTTGTTGGCCCCCGTGCTGAGCCCCACTTGGGCCCCCTGAGTTCAAAAAAAAAGGAGAGGAAGAACCTGTTGATGAGAGTGATGGTCGCAGTCTGGTTGAGAGGGGTGGTTGCAATCTGGTCGAGAGTGGTGGTCGCAGTCTGGTCAAGGTTCTGGTCCTCCTCTGGATCCCACGAGTGGTACCAGAAGTCCCAGGACCCCAAGATTATATACACTCAGGTTCAGGTAGGAATGCCCAGCACCTCCCCAAGTGTGGGGAGTTCCACAATGGGTGATTGTGAGTTGTGGGTGTGAGGACAGGAACATCCTCCTATCTCACAGGCCTCTTAACACCCAGCTTATAACCTGAGGGGTCAGCTGCTGCAAATGGTCTATTGTTAACAGTTTCTGGGAAATGACATAGAGGGTTTAGAATATACAGTTTGGGTTACACCCACACAGTGATGAATTGGTTCCAGCTGTTCTAACTAGGACACAGGGTTACTTTGTCCCATTAGCAACCCCACCAACTGTTGTTTACCTGCATCTGATCTGGGTCCAAAGTTGTGTATTTTCTCATGGCCACTCTGTCTAAAAATGCAGTCGAGGTCTCATCGCTGCTTTACATCATGCAAAGCCACCCAATTCACTGCTTTAGGTATGGCACTTTGTAATCCTAGATGGACTAGCATCCTATACTGAACCAGTAATTTATACTGATCAGGATTATTTGGATCTCAGGATCTTTTAGTGGAAAAAATATCATCTAATCTCCCTACTAAAACATTTGTTGTAATCTGTCCCTCCACATGATTTCTTGCTGTTTTTATTACAAGTTCTTTCTCTGTTTCCATCAATTCTGATAATATTAATTCCACATCTGACGAATCAATGTCTAGATTTTTCACAATTAATTCAAATCTCTTAGCCACTTTCTCAGGATCTTCCCTAAAATGCTTAGCTTCCTCCCTCCAGCTATTCAAATCATTTGATGAAAAGGGTACTTTTATCTTTCCTGGATTACCTGTATGTGTTATTACCTGTTGTAAGGGAGCAACTGTATGACTAGCCTCGGTTTTAACTTTTGCTTTACCCCCAGTTTTACCTTTAACCTTTTGTCCCATGGGCTGACCATGAGTGGAATATGTGCTGCTCACCTCTTCCTCCAGGTCTTCCATGCTTTCTGCTACGCCTTCCAAATCCATTGCATCTAGTCCGGATTCCTGTGGGCTTCCAGGTCCTGGTCTAGCTGGGTCTGGCCCTCTAGAATAGGTCGGATGCAATTCTTGAGGATCTATTATACTCTCCTCATCACTGTCTTTCTTTCCTAACTTGAGACACCTCTGACC